AAGTGAACCCCTTTCTCTAGAATGGGGCTCTTCTAGAGAGCAAGGACTGAATGAGGTGTAAGGTTTCAACCCTTAAGACGATTCCAATTTCTTGAAATTAATCAATAGAACATTTTTTTTCATTTTATTTTTAACCTATATTTCATTTTTAAAAGAAAAATAAGAAAAAGATTCTAGTGTTCTACTGAAAATGGTAACGTTATATGACAGGATATTAAAGTGAAAGTTCCCCTGAGACCCTCAGATAGCAGAGATATTAAATGGGAAAGTCTGATTTCAGAGGGAAACTACAGCCTCAGCAAAGAACACAGCAGGGAGCCATTCCTGTTGGAACCCCTCAGTCAGGTCCAGATTATTAAAAGGGATCAGAGTACAACAAGGAGAGAGAATTTCTTTCTTTCTTTCTTTCTTTCTTTCTTTCTTTCTTTCTTTCTTTCTTTCTTTCTTCTTTCTCTTTCCTTCTCTTTCTTTTCTTTCTTTCTTTCTTTCTTTCTTTCTTTCTTTCTTTCTTTCTTTTTTTAAAGATTTTATTTATTTATTCATGAGAGACACACACAGAGAGAGAGAGAGGCAGAGACACAGGCAGAGGGAGAAGCAGGCTCCGTGCAGGGAGCCAAATGTGGGACTTGATCCCGGGACCCTAGGATCACGCCCTGGGCCGAAGGCAGGCGCTAAACCACTGAGCCACCCGGGGATCCCCAGGAGAGAGGATTTCTTGAGGAAGAATTCTGGTAGCCATAGATCATGGGGAGTGGGCTTGAAGTAGGTGGATTAGAGGGAGTCCTACCGCCTCACCTCCACTCTTGTGAGAGAAGAGTTTCAAAGTAGCTTTTTAGAGGGGCACCTGGTTGGCTCAGTAGGTTAAGCATCCAACTCTTGATACTGGCTCAGGCTGTGATCTCAAGGTTGTGAGACTGAGCCTTGTGTCCGGCTCTGTGCTAGGCATAGAATCTGCTTAACTCTCCCTCTCCTTCTGCCCCTCCCCCCATTTGTTCCCTCTAAAAAATAAAAAAAAAATTTTTAAACAGTCACTTCTTAGAGAGCCTGATATGAGATATCTGCATGAGGATGGACAGGAGGGCATTGAGGATTGGGGACTGACACTCCCAAGAGATCTGGAAGGTGAGACATGGACTGACACATTGTTTGGACAAAAAAAAAAAAAAACAGGAAATCTGTTTCTGTACTCCCAAAGGCAAATGATGTGTGTTCCCCATGGACCACAGCAGACCAGGAGCAAAGGAGGGTTGGAGGTCTCAAGGCCTCTTCAAAAGGACCCATAGCTTCAGCTTCCCAGGGGGTGCAGAACGAGTCACAAGTTACCTGTTAGAATAGGGATGGCTTGGCATGAATTGAGGACTATAAGCAAAATGTCCCCTGTGACAGGAATCTTTAAAGATCCCATGAAAGTGTCTTTACCTGGGCCTACTTGGCTCTGAGAGTGAAAAGCCGGAATACAATGTTACCACAGCAAGTAAAAATTCCCTTCAGCTCTTTGTCTCTTCTCCATCCTTATACTCTGAGCCCAGGGAACAAGAAATCCCAGTTAGCAAGCTGAGGGAGGAGAGGAAAGAAAACATGAAGAGGCCAATCACAATGCCTTCTGTGAAGGAAGAGGATCTTCCTGAAACAGGTCCCAGGGAGAAGAGATTTAACTCTAAATTGAGATTAGAGTTTGTTACTGCAAGGGATGGGATATTCTATTTTGGAATAAACTAGTTTGGGTAACTTAGAGTGGCCACAGGACTATTCCGAAAGAAAGCAGAGTACCACAGGACCTGCTAGGTTTTCATCTAGTGACAGTGGAAAACTTCTTTCATTAAAAAAAGTTAAAGGGTGACAGGAGACAAGAAGAAAGAAGCAATTTGATGATGCGTCATATATAATGCTAATTTAACATACTAGCTACAGTTAAGTGCTCACATATCAAAAATTAAAATTCTTCAGATAATAACAACCCACGGTGGAAACAAAAACCAAGGATCTAACCTATGTTATGCTAGGGTTCTTCCATCAGACGTTCAAGCTCCAAAATAGAAGAAACACCTCTGTTATTTCCAGATCCCTTTTGTCATTTCTGGCTTGGGGTATATCACATGGCTTCTGTTAGCCCACCAGGCAGAGAACAGCATGAGCCTTGGGACAGAGACTAACAGAAGGAAACACACCAAAGAACAAGATGAGAAAATTGCTTTGGGGAAATACGTTAAAATTAGGGGTTTGGGAGGAGGCAGGGACTAGAAACCTGCAATATTTTGGGCACAAGAAACAACAACGTACCTAAGAACTATTTAGTTAGACCACAGTTGCAGCTCTCATCTATGGCAGTTTCTAAGTTTATGTTCTATTGTTAGCTCTCAAAGGAATATGAAGGCATGTTTGGCTGTCTGAGGACAGCAACAGTCATTTTGTTCATTCAGGTGATTGCTCTCTTCCTCCAACAACCAGTCCTGCTGCTATATTTGGTATATTTGTATTCTCCAGGAGATGCTTTTTAACTTTGATGCTATTTAAAATTGTTCCTCAGAGAGCCTTCACTCACTCTTGCAATATCATACTTCAAAGTTCTACTTTTTTGCTCCCATATTCAACTGATTAACATTGATGCCTTGGTGGAAAAAAATCACTGATCTCTCTGTAATTAGAATATCATTCGACAGTGCTTTTGGCTAATTTCTGTTAAGTTTCCGTTCTTCTAAAGATTTTCAAGCTAAGAAGTAGGAGAGGAAAAAATTGGAAAATAAAATTTCCACTTTCATCCAGTGTTTTGGAAGCCCTATCACTGAAGTGGATGTGTCCACATTCTACTTAATTCTTCCAAATATATTGCTAATTATTTCTTTTTCCAGTTATGAGCCAGTGATGTTAATCACCTGTGTGTGTATTCTGGATCACTTCCTGTATTTCTGTAGAATCTTAGGTGCCTTTATTAACATCTCTTCAAGTCTCTGATGTTTTAAAGCCCTGACTAAAAGAGGCCCTTGAGGTGCTATAACTGATCAAAGAGATATCATAAAACAGATATTATTGGAATTTGAAAACTGTCCAAAGACTCTATAGGCCAATGTGTCCTCTCTTTTCCATTAGTAAGGACAAAAGGGAGACATAGACATATACTATGGGAGGCAAGAGCTGAATATTTCTTTATCATATTGAATGTTAATACTTCTCACAGTTTAGAAAATCCCCTATTGATCCTGTCAAGATACGTAAAGAGTCTCTAAAGTGATCTTCCATGATTGAATAACTTGCCACTGCAAAGCCAACAACAGTACTCTTATATGTTTCTGGAGGGCAAGGACTTCATTTAAATCATCTTTGCATTTCCAGACTCATAGATAATCCTGGGAAATATTAGGTGTTCAATAAAATTCTTGTTGAATGAATTAACCAATGCATGAATCATGTGAAATGGAAATCAAGTCCAAAATGGTAACTCAAATTAGGCTTTTCTCCCCTCCCTGATTATATAGGCCAGAGAACTTATTATTAGATATAGATTAGGATAAAGAGATTAATGAAAACAAGATTTGTTAGGATCCAACCATTATTAGTGAAATTTTAATGATAAAAAAGAGAGAGGCAAGATTCAGTATATTGACCCCTTTATTTTTGATATGCAAACCCAGAATGAACCATCTACCTTTTTTGTAGGTCTAATGGAAAAAAAACCAAACCATACCATTTGAATGTAATATAGTTTTGTCAAATTCAGGTGTTGGTATTCACTTTAAATATAAGGACTGGGCAGCCCCAGTGGCTCAGCGGTTTAGCGCCTGCCTTCAGTCCAGGGCGTGATCCTGGAGTCCCAGGATTGAGTCCCATGTCGGGCTCCCTGCATGGAGCCTACTTCTCCCTCTGCCTGTGTCTCTGCCTCTCTCTCTCTCTGTGTGTCTCTCATGAATAAATAAATAAAATCTTTAAAAAAATTAAGGACTGAGTTAAGAAAGAAAAGCTGTGGAAACCGTTTATGAAATTTAGATGCATCTTTAAGCATGAGGATGCTTTCTATTCCAGAAACACACAATGTTACAATACTTTCAAAGTTGACTCATTTCCCTTAGGTGTACATTTGCTACTTTCTGCCAGAAGCTTGTCCAAGAGAGTTCATGCAGATGGGACTGTGGAGGACTTAACGTAGATAACTAGTCTTTAGGGTTCCTAGAAACACAGGGGGGCAAAAAGAGAGAGAATATAAGAGCTTTCAATAAATTATATTTCTGCACACTGACAAACCAAACATTTAACATACACAGGGGAAAGTTAATGTTGCAGGGACACAAACTCTCAAGCAAGGAATGTTACCCACATAGAAAGAAGCAAAACACAAATGAAACAAGTAGCAGCAGTATTTCTCTGAGACATAGGCAATATCCCATGCTTAGGAAATGGAAAACCACAGGATCTTCAGCAAAGTATAAATAGATTTTGAGAAGAAAAAAAATCATCCACTCCATCAGATCAGTAACATTAAATACATCATCTAAGTAGCTCTTGTTTTTGTGTGTGTATGTGGGGGGTGGGGGTTGATTTATTTGGTGGACCAAAATAAGATAACAGATTGGAAGTCTTTTGGGAAAGGTAGAGTCCAGTAGCTCATGGTCTGTTTCTGGGGGTAGTCAAATATGTTTTGTTTATTTTGTACCAGGAAAACAGGACCTGAATGAGCACAGGCTGTGTATATAGATATGATTATGTGGAGGGCAGATAAGTAAGGGTGGCTCCCAGTCATAACAGAGTCCCTGCAGTGGTGGTTGTGCTTAAGAGAGATGGTAGCGATTAGAACTATGGGTTCAGAGATGGAGAGCAATAAGAAACCAAGTCCCAGGCCAGAGCTAATAATACACAAGGCAGAGGCAGCCTGTCTTGGCTTTAGGGCTAGGTATTTTGGGGGTCTGATTTCGTGTTCAGTAATGTTGCCAAGATTACTTTGGAATAACAGTAAATCAGCACAAACCAAAATGAATGAGTTATACTAACATTTTCATTGTTTCTAGCAGATTGGACACTCCCTTTCTCTTCCTGGAAGACCAGTTCCACACACCATCTCCACAGCATCTCCTTGGGTATACCAGCCTGCTTATAACCACTCCAGCAAATCAACTGATGAGCTAGAGAAAGCAAACAAAAGACTAACTCCTTGGGAAGCAGCAGCAAAGTCTCCTCTTGGTCTAGTGGATGATGCCTTTAAGCCCAGAAACATCCAGGAGTCCATTGTGGCAAATGTGGTCTCAGCAGCCAAGAGGAAGGTACTTCCAGGGCGCTCAGAGGATTGGAATGAGAGACTGTCCTATGTTCCTCAAGCCCAGAAGGCCAATGTGAGCTCATTTGCAAGGCAAGAGTATAATGTTGCATCCTCATTTAATAATAATATGTCTACCAACTACCAGTATGGTTCACAGTTGCCATATGTATATTATAGGCAGCCTTCCAGAAATGATTCTGAAATAATGTCCATGGAAACTAGATCTGATTATTGTCTTTCAATAGCTGATTGCAACTACAACCCACACCCAAGGGGATGGAGACGCCAGACATGAATATTAGAAAAACTGATCATGTGCCATCTATAATAGTAATTTTTGAAATGTTCCTTTGTAGAATGCTTCACTTTTCCAGTAGATTTTGATTCACTTTTGGTCTTGGCTTGTTCTCAGAAGTCATTTATTTGAGTTTCTCTCTCTCTCTCTCTCTGTGTGTGTGTGTGTATATGCATGTGTGAGTGATCTCTTCCTTGTCTGCTCATGACAGAGAATTTCTTTGAAGAACAAATTCATTTTCTACATTGATGTGCTGGCACTTATATCTAATTCATAATATTAATTCCATTTATTCCATTAATATGTGGTAGTCTAGGCAACTAAACACTGCTCATTTAAAGTGATATTAAGTATTTTCTTCTAAGTGTCTTAGTCCAGGAAGGAATTAATGAAACATGATGTACTAATTGTCATTAGCAGTAACAGCAAGGAATATAACATTGGAGAATTTTTCAGTGGAGCAAGCCATTAATGATAATTACATAAAAAAGGATTTCCTTGGTGTTATTTTAAGCATTTCTCTGAAACAGTATCAAAAAACCAATGAAATTCAGTCTTTTAGAACTGAAATATTGGTGTTCTCAGAATGAAAGAAATATTTGACAGAAGATAATTATACAGTTCAGAAGGATTTTTGAGGCAAATTGTGTCATGTATGGGGAATAGAAAGATTTAGGTATAGAATTTATTTTTAATCCATTTAAAGCCAGCAGCCTGAGACAGGAATAGATTCTGGGTTCAGGTACTCTCATTTGTCAATTGAGAAGATCAGATTATTTAATCTCTTACATCCTTAATAACCCTGATATTCTGAGATTCTCTCATTGGTAGAATGGACTTTGGTGTATTATTCATTTTTTGTTGCTCATCATATAAACATAGGATTAATTTAGGAGTGGGTTAGATCATCAGTGTCACTACCTATGTAATTAAAGGTCCAAAAGGAATTGTTGGGGGACAGGTTTTGTGCTATGTGTTATGTGGAGTGAGGGTTGATGGGAAGAAAAAAAAAAACTTTTCATGGATTTAAGGAAGTGGTAGATGGATGTGTCTGTTATTATGCAACCGTAGGTCATGACCATTTATTTAGTTACAGAAAACAAAGCCATCATTAGGATGTTCAAAGGAAGCTGAACAGCTGCTTGGTCAATTTCATGACCCATGCCTTGTTAGCACAACCATGAGACAATCAAACACCTGCTCCTTGCTGCCATACCCACAAAGTATTCAGTACAAGGAAATTCAAAGCATCTAATTGTCATAGAATTGACAGCATTTTAAAATAAGAAAAAATTTTAGGTACTGAAAACTTTCTTAGATTTTTAAATGTGATTGTTTTGCCTTGTTTTGCTCTTTAACTCTTGAATTTATCATTATAATGGTGTCTTTCACAGGATAAAGCTTAAAAAGAAAAAAATTCCACGGTCAAAGTGATCCCTTATCTTGGAAGTAGAATATAAAAAATCTGAAGAGATGATAGTAAGTTCTATTATTGATGGACCCAATCAGATACTGATTTGTTTAGTTAAAAAGAAAAGAAAAAAATGCATACTTCTAAAGCTATATTGTTAATTCCCTTAAACTTATATGCTGTCAGTTCTCTCAAATTATAAAACATAATTATTGATGACTCCTAAGACTTTCTATGAAATCTTCAAAAATAATGCCTGGTATATTTATCAGTAAGTCAGCAAATTCTCAGGAATCCCCTACATAAAAGTCTTATTTGCTTCAAACTTGATGATATTGGCTGAATCATTCTAGATGTCTGCATCTTAAAATAAGGATCATCTAGCAGAGAAGACTGCCTGACAGGATCAGATCCTATTTTGTTGCTTTCTTTTATAAATGCTAGAAGTGGTTTCCATTACTCCGAGGACTTAATATTCTCCAACTCCAGAAATTGACATTTATTGTATTAGTCACTAAAACTTTCACTGGACCCAAAATGAAAACGCAGACATTTTAAACTTAAACATTATTATAATAAAATAGCCATCCCCATCTTCGGATGTACTAGATCAAAATTATCTTTGTGTGAAGCTATCTGAGTTTATTCTAGATGTCAAGGGAAAGACAATACATGACAGGAAAGTTGTACGTGTTTCACTCACAAAGAAATGAACATCTGATATTTTTATTAGAAACTGATATTTTAAGGAGTCATATATTGAAGATAGAATTCTGAAGAAGCAGAAATGCCAATGTCAAATCATCACAGAATGTATTGTGGAAATTGAATCGCCAGTTTATTTAAAAACGAGTAAAGTTAGATTGCTTGGATTCAAGCTAGTGTTTGAGACAGGAGACCTGCCACGCTGATATCCAATTCCTGTGGGTAAGAATACCTTATATCTATAAGATAAAAACAGCATTTTTAAAAGAGCTGTTGCTTGTAAATATATATACCACATTTTTTTTTTATACCACATTTGTTAAGACATTTTTCTACCGTAGCAATCACATAGGTAGACAGAGGTCCTTTTTTTTTTTTTTTTAACCACAGATTAAAAAGCATGTCCTAAAATGTTACAGTATGCCAATTATAGAGACACTAATTTGTCACCTTTCCTACATCTGGAGTTTAAATATCACATCATTGCATGTGTATGAATTGTCTGCTATTAAAATGATTTAAATTTTGTTTAGTATTTTTAGTTTTATAGATGCACAGATTTGAGGCCATTTATTTCTGAGTATGTCTCTTATGTTTTGGCACCATCACTCACATTGCAAAGAGTCACCCTATTAGGGCTCAAGCATATATATGTATTAATGAATTGAAACTTTGGATGAAAAATTGTAGCAGATAGGCTCACTTATTATAATTAGAGATGAATTACAAAAATGTTAATTTTTTCAGAGAAAGTAGATTTTCACATTTGATTTCCATTCAAAGTAGAAGTATCTACACTGTCCACACTTTTCTATTAAAAATGACTATGTTCCCCTGCCAGTTAGATTGACATTTCCAACTGTGTTTATCCCAAAAGACTGTATTTGAAATGCATACTGAATATCAAAACTACATTAGTAATAAAAAAGACTTGAAAATAAATTTAAAGAGTGTTTTAATTTTTCCTTATAAAACATGATTTTGAATTAATTTTCACTCCAAAAAACTGGGATTTGACATACTCCAAATCTGAAAGTTGATATATATCATGATATACATTATATTCTTACTTATATACAGTGCATTGTTAATCTTATCTACTGCATATTTTTGAATTTTAGTTTCTATATTAGCTTTGAGATACATCAAAAGAATTTGATGCTGATTGCAACATTTTAACTGTAACACTTAAAAACTTTAGAAAACCTTACCTAAAAATATGGGTCAATTTGACATGTAAGTTAAAAGTTTGGGGTTCAAACATAATATTATTTTTTATTAATTCTTTCCTTCATAGAATGTTGAAGATTACTCTTAAGTATAAGAATAGCCAATGGTATATGACTTGATAACATGTTGGTTGGGTTTCTGAAGCTGCTCTGGACTCACTCAGAGAATCTATCATGTTTGTCATTCCAGAAATGACTTTGGCTCTTCCTAGATGAGATTAAAACTATCAACTGGAACAGGAGCTCCCTGGTCAATTGGTATCATACCAATATCATACCACAGCTTACTGACTTTTTTTTTTTTTTTTTTTTTTTTGTAAATTCTGAATAGAATGGCTGTTTTTGGCATTCTGATAAATATTTTTTAGGGACACCGGGTGGTTGAGCGTCTGCCTTCCGCTCATGTCGTGATCCCAGAGTCCTGGGATCAGAGCTCTGCCTATGTCTCTGCCTCTCTCTCTCTGTGTCTCATGAATAAATTAATAAAGTCTTAAAAAAATTTTTTTAAAGGGCCAGCACTGGAAACATACTTCAAAAATGAAGACTCTTTTAAAGATTAAAATGACCTAAGAGTAGTAACACTATATTGTCTTAGGATGCTAATACCATAGAAAAATCCCCTTTTCTCTGAAGAATGCCTAATGCTTAGTAGATCATGAATTTCAAAACATACTTAGGAAGTAGGTAATGTCATTTCCACGTAGAGCCAACAGACAGCCTGAGGCAAGGGCAGTTCAGTATCCTGGCTCTTTATTGAGCTGCTTCAAAACTAGCCAGTTTCCCCAGTCTATTTACTACCAAAAGTATTTAGTACCAACTACTCCCTTTTCCTCAGTGGTTCTGGAAAACAACACAATTTGTGACTTCTCAAATGTAATAGGACAGTATTTTCCACGAAGGGGCATTTCATTATTTACAGCCTAATAAATTGTGACAGTTTATATTTCTAGGAAGGATCTGGCAATCTCTTTACAAAAATCAAGTAATTACAAAAAGGGCATTTAAAGAGGAAATGCCTCCAGTAAATCTTGCTGTGGTATTTTTTTCTCTCTGAAGTTGTGAAGATTTGCTATATTGTAACTTCTTTCTCCTTGACTTTTCTATCTCCAGTCTTCATGAATTCTGTCCTCTGCTCCCATCTTGCCCAAGAGGAAAAAGCTTCATTTAACTCTTCAAGGATTTCAAAATTTATATATATATATATTTTTTGGTTAAGTTTTTATTTAAATTCTAGTTAGCTAATATGTGGTTTCAGAGGTAGACTTCAGTGATTCGTCACTTGCATATAACATCCAGTACTCATCACATCAACATTTATATTTCTTTTTTATTTTATTTTATTTTATTTTTTTAATTTTTTTAAAAGATTTATTTATTTATTCATTCAGAGAGAGCGAAGAGAGAGGCAGAGACACAGGCAGAGGGAGAAGCAGGCTCCATGCAGGGAGCCCGACATGGGACTCGATCCTGGATCTCCAGGATCACACCCCGGGCTACAGGCAGTGCTAAACCGCTGCACCACCAGGGCTGCCCTATATTTCTGGGTTTTTTTTTAAAATATATTTTTTCTTTTTTTCTTTGAGAGAAAGAGACTGAGCAGGACAGAGAGGAGGGGGGCACAGAGGAAGAGAAAGAAGCAGACTCCCCACTGAGCAGGGAGCTTGAAGCAGGGCTCCATCCCAGAACCCTGCCATCAGACCTGAGCCAAAGGCAGATACTTAACCGACTGAGCCATCCATCCACCCCAAGATTGGCATTTCTTACTTGAGAGTCTGGAAGAGCTTTATAAAGAATGACTATCTTACCAAGATGATTTGAATATGTGTGAGGTTTGCCCCCAAATTACCAAATAAATTATAATAGAGTATACCGTAGGGACCAAGGGCAGGCCACCCCCCATGATGGGCCACTTTGGCATGAAGATTATTTTGAGTTAAAAGTAATCAAACCCCAGCAGATTCAGAAAAAGCTATTTACCTTCCCTCTCGATTGCCTACAAAGAATTTAGATGGATGACCCCCTCCAGGAAGAGATCGATCACCACAGGTAACTACATTATAATATGAACTAGGGGTGGTAAACAAGGAGGAATTTAGCAAAATCTGTTAAAACTCCTCTCTATGTCCCATTGTTTCTTTGTGGCCCAGTGAACATTTATTTACCAAACATTTACTCTTTTTCATCTTCCTGTGAATTTCATTCCTTCCTTTCAAAATCCCCCAACCCCTGGGGCTATCTCCTAAAATCAGAAGGACATAATCCTTCATTTAACCTGTCTTTAGAATTTCAGGCCTGTGTGGATATTTCATATGAATGGAATTAAATTTGATTTTCTTCTGCAAATATGTTTCATGTCATTTTGAGTCTTAGCGCAACTAGAAGGACTTTGAAAGGCAGAGAAAATTTCTTCCCTCCTGATAATGTAGATAAAGGCAAAATCGTTTTTAAACCCACATTGCCCTTGAAGAACTCTGTCTCCATTACTATGAAAATTCAGATGTAGAGATAGGATTCTCCTTAGCCTTTCTTCAACACTACCTTTTCTAGAAAAAATCATTTATTTAGACAATTGAGCTATAGATGTATTCTGCAGGGATATTTTTTCACAAGATACAGTGCATGTGTTAGAAAGTAAAAAGCCATCCTTAAACTAAGGAAAGGACATTGCACTGCCCCTATTCCCATTTCTATGGAGCAACCATTTTCAGAGCAGTCTAGAAAATCAAACCAGAAGTCAGCAGAAACTTTGCAGATTAATCCTTGACCTATCAGGACTAAGCTCATTTCAAAAGATTGCCTTGGTTGTTTTTCCTGTTGATCTATATGTTATTCATACCACAGCTATCTGCTAGACTAGTACACAGGACAGAGAAGAACACTATTTTAAAAATAAATAAATAAAGGGGAGAGGGTTGCATATATTCCCATAACTTATTTGGGCTTTTATGCGAGGTTAAATGCCTCTTTGTCCTTGAATTTAGATGATCTCTCTCTGGTTCCTGTCTACAATAACTACAGCCCTGATCATTAGCAATACAAAATGCCTATTATTTATTGAAGATGCTAATTACTAGAGGGCTGAGAAGAGGAAAAAAGAACACTGATTTTGTGATAGAACAGCTAAACTTCAATGTTCAGCTAAGCCCTAGCATGAACTTGAAAAAGAAAATAACCAAAAAAGAGGGTAGATGTTTCATGTCTTGTAGTGTTCTCCAGTGGTGTTATCTGAAAATCCTTTCTCATGGAGACTCAACTGGTTCTTCTACAATATGTTTGAATAAGCGAAGTATCTGGGTTTCTCATATTGCATAAAAAGGAAGACATTAAAAAGGAAATAAGAATTTACTGTTCAAGGTCTGAAATGCTATCATGGGACAGCCTGGGTGGCTCTGTGGTTTAGTGCCACCTTCAGCCCAGGGCATGATCCTGGAGACCCAGGATCGAGTCCCATGTTGGGCTCCCTGCCTGGAGCCTGCTTCTCCCTCTGCCTGTGTCTCTGCCTCTCTCTGTGTGTGTGTGTGTGTGTGTGTGTGTGTGTGTCTATCATGAAAAAATAAATAAAATCTTTAAAAAAATAAAATAAAATGCTATCATGTAGAAAAAAATCAGAAATAGGAACAAATTCTATATATATTTTGCCTGAGGAACTTTTAAAAGAATTTGTTACACATTTTTATTTCTCTAGTACCCTGCTATAAAATCATTCTTTTTTAAATAAAATTATTCTTAAAACAAAGCACATTAGAAGAGGTCCATTCCAAAATCAAAAAAAGGATATATGTGTGAATTTAAGCCGTGAGTATAAAATAAATATTTTTACTACCATGAAGACACTGATATTTAAAACATGTACATTGCATTCATTTTAAGAAATGTCCCTTTAGGGGGCGCCTGGTGGGTCAGTCAGCTAAGTATCATCTGACTCTGGCTCAGGTCATGGTCTTTGGGTCCTGGTATTGAGCCCTGCATCTGGCTCCCCACTCAGCCTGGAGTCAGCTTGTCCATCTCCCCCTGCCCCTCCACCTGTTCATACTCTCACACTCTCTCTCTCTCTCAAATAAATAAAATCTTTTTTTTTTTTAAGAGAAACCTCCCTTCAGGCATTAAATTACCCATTTTCCCTTAGTTATTATTATTTGAAGTTATCAGTGACAACATTGGGGCCTTCATGAAGACATCAGAATTAGCAGGTAATACTTGTTCTTTTTTTTTTTTTAAGATTTTATTTATTTATTCATGAGAGACACAGAGAAGGAGGCAGAGACATAGACGAGGGAGAATCAGGCTCCCTGAGGGGAGCACGATGTGGGACTTGATCCCAGAACTCTGGGATCAAGACCTGAGCCAAAGGCAGACACTCAACCACTGAGCTACCCTGGCATCCCATGTAATACTTGTTCTGATTTTTAATTTCTCTGACAAAGGGAAACATTAAATTTTATCAGCATGAGCAGCCAGTAGGTTTAATTAACATTAAATGGTATTTCTGTTCCTGCCCTGGACTTTTTTTCTTGGCACAATGAATATATTTAGAATTAGATTTAAAGTGACAGCAAACTCAAATCCTCTCCCCAAGTAGAAAGCTAATATAAATAGGGTCACCACAGTGTATAGTTATAGACTCTCTGCAGTTTAAGAATAAAGCCCGAGAATATTGGTATGTCTCAATCAGCAGACCTTTAGTAATTCTTCTAGAATGTACTACTT